GGTGAAAATTATGTAAAGCATAAGCAAGAAGATTTATATAAAATCCCGAGTGAGTTGATTAGTGAGTTGTTGGTGAGTGTTATGTAAAAGTCTATTGTGTTGTTTGTTGTTTGGTTTTTTGTGTGGTTTGTTGTGTGGTGGTTTTTTTTCTATGAGGGTCTTACCCAGACCTCATGATATTTAGTTTGTCTAAAACCATTTAAAGGGATGATGCCTTACTATGGTAGAGGATGAGTGAAGATATGAAAACTTGTAAGCAATGTGGTAATACTTATTCTTCTGATTTGTTTATGAATAGGATGAAACTTTGTAATTACTGCCGAGAACAAAATAAGATTAAAAATGATGAAACGAAAAAGCAATGGAAATTGAATAATCCTGAGAAGGTGAAAGAATACAGACAAAAATATGAAGAAGAGAATATTGATGAAATTAAGGAAAGGAGAAAGAAATGGAGAGAAAGCGAGAAAGGAAAAGCAACAATACAAGCAAACAGGCAAAAAGTTCATTATTGTGAATTGTGCGATTATGAAGTTAAAAAAGGTAAGAAGTCTCAACACGAGAAATCCGGAAACCATCAATATTTTTTACAGAAAAGTTGGAATGGTGAAAAAATGGAACGACCGGATAGTAAAGAAATTGTAAATGGCGTGTTGTGGTTTAGATGCTTGAAATGTAATAAGAAGGAAATTTATTATGCTTGGTGCGACCATGTATCAAGTGAAGGACATATCAATAAATGTTGCGATGTTGATTGAAATGGTTTAAGTTATTCTTTAAAATGAATAACTTGAAGCATTTTATATAGATTTTGGCGAGCGGTTTGATTATATGCTGTTGGGCGGGGGGCTGTAAGCAAATGATGAGATTGCGGTATGCTGGCTCTTGCTGGGGTTAGGGGGGGGGGTTATCCTCTATCCTCTCTTAGGTGTCCGACACGCCGAGCATGTCGGCGGACTCAAGCTACCTAGTTGACTATTCAGCAAGCTAAGTAGCTGACAGGTAGTTAGCTACGGTCAACACTTAGCTAGTAGCTGGTTAGCTTAGCTATTTGATAGATGGCTTGTGTGCCAGTGGCTAGTTTCCTGATAGCTGCCTAGGTCGTTGACGAGGTTGCATCCTTTGCCATCTAACTAGTTGGTGTCGGGCGCGTAGGGCGCCTGCCGCTTTTCCTTGTTTCGGGTTTTGGGGGGGGGGTTCGGGGCGGGGGTGGTAAGCACCCATGCACCAGTCCCGCATGTATAGAGATTCTCGCACTGACTCTTCATTTCAACGTTTTGATCTTGTGTCACTAGGCCAGTGTTTGCCGTGTTGTCTTTTCTCTGCCGCAGGTTTTTCGAGTAGCCATCCTGTCACCGCCTGTCACGCATACACCTACGATGTTTTGTTCGAAACATGGAGGCGCACCCTGGCGTTGACCTTGACGTAAGTAGCATGCAGGCATTGTTCATGCAGGATGTTCTTTCAACTCTGACTTTCAAGACAGCCGCCATGGACTGTTATGGATACGCCGTGACTCTGTCTCTGCTGATATTATATAATACGGTCGGAGTTAACGCAATGCCCTGACCAGTTCCAGTCGCTGGCGAAATTTTGGGAAGTGGCCTTGAGTGATTTGAACGACCCCCAATACATCTTGTGTCAACATGCTCCGATAGGTTCGACAGAGTGGCACACTGCGAATCATTTTTGAGGAGATGCATCTTCGACGCGCAGGGTCTCTGCCCTTTACTAAATTGTTGCAACATGGTCAGCTGTTTCTATTGTGGTTCCTGTTCCAAGGGCTTCAGGAAGGAACGGCAGCTACTGCTGTCATTTTGGTGTCTCGTTTGACGCCCGCGTCCCAACCTGCATTATCTTGGGTGCATGAAGTGCATTCTGCAGATGTTGCTGTGTCTGACGTGAACTGGAAGACAGTTGTATGCCTGTGTGTCGGACCTTGTATGAAGTGGCGCAGGAAGATGCTACGCACTGCAGGGATTCTGGCGCTGTGGCCCTTGATATACCACCATGGGCGCTTCAGAAGCTGCAGCAGGAGGAGGCAGCAACTGCAGCCCCGGCAACGCCTCCAGCCCGCCCTTGCATGAGATTGAATCTGCAGAAGCCGACAAAAATGGGGGTGCTGTCGCAGGTGCCTGCATTCTTTGAGGCCTTACTTGGTGCGCAAGAGAGGGGTCATGCGACTCATGTGCAGTCGTTGGTTCTTGAAGCACTTGCGCGCGGGAGACCGAGTCTGCTGGGGCTCTCGAGCTTTTGATATGTCTAGATTTCAGGAGCTAGAAACACTAGGCTTCAGTACCAGGATCTTCGTTACATGTTCCTTCGCGCAACAGGGCGCGAGTTACACCTTTGCGGCGTCAAAACGTATGCTGCTTGCCTTTTTTGTTTCTTGCGGGCAGCGTGGGCAGTGTTCAATAGTAGGCGCTGGCTCTCAAAATGTGATGTAGGTGCGCGAGGTCTGGTGCACAGTTGCCAAGTCTGCAGTAGCCAGAAGCACAGGCTGGAACGCCCTACCCTGGTGCCAAGCTGGTGCAGTCCTTGAAGCGCAAGCTGAGTGCGCCCCAGGAACGCATTGCTTCGAAGAACAAGGATGCTCGAACACACACGCCCAAGACAGGGAAGCACAAGGTGCGCGCGCGCCGGCAATATCAAGGAAAAAAGCAAGACAAGGATGTTAGGCCGCGGAGAAAGAAAGCAGCGCTGTTGTGCTTGCTGGACGACACCAATGAGAAGGCTGCGCGCTGGCTTCTCCAACAAGGTTTCGCAAGGCGACCTAAGAGTGCTCCAGGTGCAGCGATGGCAAAGTGGACGGCCCACGTTGCATGCAGAGGAAGCGAAGACTGCCGTTCTGGCACTGGCGCTGTCAGTCATGGCAGTGTCAGCACAGAGTCTCTTTCTTGGGCTTCTCTATCTTCCATGGACTTCGCCTAGAGCCCGCACCTTGTGTCTCCTTTCTCCTTCCTGCGGTCCTACTGCGTCAGCAATTTGCGACAGCCCTTGTCTGTGGAGGACTTGATAAAGAGCTGCAACACTGGGCGAACGCAGGCCCATCATTTCCTGTAGAGCTTGGTGTCCGTGCGTTTGTGGGGAGATTCTTGCGCGGAACACAGAGAAACAACGGGGAGGACCCATGGCCATTTCTTTTCTTCGCCCTCAGGTGCCTCGACTGATGCAGCTCAATCATTTGTCTTTTTTCCTTGCTTTCAGAAACACATGTCGCAGCCATACTTTATGCGCGCATTGACTCAGGTGGGCATGCCACAGAGCCGCCCGCCTCCGGAGAGCTACAAAGACATCAAGGCTTCGCGCTTGCTTGAGCGAGTAGCAACCTCCGGTCCGCGTGTGCTGCGCTCTGACGGAGCACAGGCGTGGCCCCAAGCAGCAAAGACTTTGGGTTGCAAGCGCCAGCAAGTTTCACATCAACGGAAGGAGTTTTGCAGGTTGAAAAAATGGCTGAACCCAAGCCTTCATCGCAAGCAAAGGACTTGCCATGGAAGCGCTGTGAATGATCACTTGCGACGCCGCACCCTTCAGTGGGCCTGACGCAGGTCGCTGTCGGATGACAAGTGCAATTTTTGAAACCATTGAGCCAGAAATGTAAATCCAAGTAGTTCGTGATGCCTCATAGGGGAAGCCATTGCGCATCTGACGCGCCGTGCTACTGGGGAAAACAAGCTGGCGGGCCCGAAGCTACCAGGCGCCCTGTGCGCCCGCAACCTAACTAGTTTTAGTGAGCTGGTTAGGTACATAGCCACTTCGGAAGTAAGCTATTGGCATGCTAGCTAGTTGGGCAAACTGGCTAGCTGTGGCAGATGCTAGCAGTGAGATAAGCTGGCCGGCTAGTTAGGTAACTAGCTGGAGTGCTAGTTTGCGCCTCAGCTGGTTCGGTAGCTCGTTAGCAAACCTGCTTTTAGATTAGCTAGCTAGCTGCTCAATCGCTTAGCTGGCTTGTTTCGTATCGAAGCAGCTAGTTAGCTCCTGAGCTAGTTCGCTAGTTAGCCAATTAGATAGACTTCTAGTCACTCAGTCAGTCAGTCAGTCAGTCAGGTAGTTTGTTTGTTGGAGTCGATGAACAATGCGGACAGAGACAAGGTTTTTGATGACCACCCGAAAGTCCGCAGAGGTTTGATTGTTTGATGGTTTGCAGTTCCGGGACTTCCTCTCTCGCTCCGCGTCGGCTCCGAGACCGCCTTTGTCAGGTGTCCCGACACAGGTGGTTTGCGCATATATGGAAGAAGTAAAATTCACGCACACGGTCACGTGTTTTGCTTGTTTCTATTCCCCAGTTCTTATGGTTCTAGCTTTAATTGGCTTTTTCAGTCGCACGCAGGGCGCATATTCCTCAAAGAGATCACGGCCCAATCAAGTTCCAATCTACGGAAGTTAATCTTCATTCTACAACTGTTGGATCGGCTGTTGACACAGGTGTTGACTCTGCTTTTTGAAAACAGCGGAAAAGTGTTGCAAGGCGCAGGTGGGTTTTGCATTGCATCATGCAAATCACGGGTCGGCAGCAGTGTTGCGGTCCCTCACATATGCTTACGGCCAGATCTTCAGCGCAAAGGCTGGCGACGCACGAGCTGATACGTGGCTACAAGCCATTCAATCTGCTGGACATAAGCCAGATCGTTTGAGCTTCTCGCGTGGAGCTTGGAGCGAGTGCAGAATCGAACCTTGAACCCGCCTCGCCTGTTTTGGGAATTGAGTCTCCGGTTGAGAAACAGTCTAGGTCCATGCATCCCATGCAATGCCACTGGGACGGGTTGCAAGGCACACATTGCGAGCTGCTTCACACGGCCTGAGGTGCCCAATGCCTGTTTGTGCACGAGATGCAGACGACTTGCTTAAAGTTTTGGCTAAACCTGACAGTTGTTTGAAAGGCTAAGTCAGTATGCGGTTCCGCAAAACCATGGTTTAAGCTTATCGACCGAGTTTTAGCAAAGCCAGTTTGCTGTTCAATCGGCTGATTCAGGCTGCACGGTGAGAAAGGGTGGCGTGAGATGTTCAGGTTGACAAGTTGCACGGTGGAGACAGTGGCGGCATGTTCAATGTTCGACTCCAGGCGCAGCGAAAGTTGCTTTTCAGAGATGATCGCCTCCGGGATCACTGCAAGTGCCAATGAGCACCTTGCCGGATGTTTGCCAGGTGTCCGTTGTGCTTAGCCATGCTTTGACAGACAAGCAATTCTGCTTCCGCATTGCGATGAGCTAAGGTACACCATCCTTTTGCGTGCATGTGGCATTGCCCGAGATTCCCAGAGAGCGGTGTTTTGGATGCGACGAATGCAGGAGGCCAGAATTCATGAGTTTGAGCCTGCAGTATCCAAGTTTGAAATGAGTCACGTCACACCGATGGCAAAGTGAGAGAGGCCTGGGTGGAAGCTGACATTTTCTGCATGAATGCGCTGCTAAGCGCCTATGCTGCAGACATGGACTACGAGGCAGCGGATGAACTGCTGAGGGCCGCCTGGCTGTGGAGAAGGCGGGGATGCCTGGGATGCAAGGGAAATGGTCGCTGAGGCAATGGAAGCGGGCCTGCAGCCACATGGCCGCAGGAAATTCTTTGGCGTCCTCCTTGCCGCCTAAAGGAAAGACAGATGAGGTTTCCCTGCATAGATATTATTCTTGAGAAATTATCTTCAATATATGTATATACATATATATATATATATATATATGCTACGCCCCCCCCCCCCGTTTGGTTTGAGCGCGCAGGCTGTATAATTTCGATGATTTTGCAGTAGGTGCACCGGTTTGCTTGTTTTAATCAGACAGGCTGTAGTGGTTTGCCAGGTTTTGCCGCAGACTTAAGCAGAGACACGCCGCCTTGCACTCTATAATCATCTGGTTTTGGACAAAGAGGAATTGCATTGCACAACTGCAAGAAAAACATTCCAAACAAATGTGTGTCAATATGTAGACATGCTAAAAGCCTCAGGAAAGCCCTGCGGGCTTGGCCTGCGGCCCGATCACGTCCGCGACACAGCCGGCCACCGGGCGCCCGGCCCTGTTCGTTGTATCATTTCCTTTTCCTTGAATTGCCGCTAGTTCCCGGGATTTTAACTTCATTTCCTTTGCATGTCATGTCCGGCAGTTTCTGCACAGGCGTGCCGCACACATCCACACTCGTTGCTTGCTGCTGGAATGCTGGCCGGCTGAGCTACGCTCTGTCTCCAAGCCAGACGAAGTACTGGTTTGGCACAGGCGTGCCGCACACAGCTACACGCGCGTTTGCTCTTTGGGTCCTGGCATTTCCCTTCACTTCCTTTCGCTTCATGTCCGTGTCAGCTCCCTGCATTTCCTTGAACGCCCGCCCCTTCACTCGCACTCCTTTCCTTGAGTTCTTTTAGTTCCCTTCATTTCTCTTCAGTTTCTCTTCGTTTCCCATAATTGCCAACAATTTCTTTTCGTTCCCATCCTCCGGTTCCCTTCACGTTCTGCCCTTGCATTTTCCTGCATTTTGGGTTCTCTCTCCTGTTTCCCTTCCATTTCCCCTTCGCTTTCTGCAATTTTCATCCCCTTGTTTCGCATCGCCAGCATGCATAGCATCATCCGCATCATCCGGGATGATGCTGGCAGTGCTGGGGGTGTTGTCCAGTATTAGGCACCCCCCAAAGCCCTGCGGGCTTGGCCTGCGGCCCGATCACGTCCGGTGGCCGGGACGCGACACAGCCGGCCACCACCCCTTCCCGTTCTTTGATTTCCTTTCCCTCCAAATCCTGTTAGTTTTCGGGATGATTGGAACTTCACTTCCTTTGCATGTCTTCCCTGACAGTTTCCTGGCATATCCCTTCACTTCCTTCCACTTCACTGCCGTTTCAGCTCCCTTCATTTCCTTGAAGGCTCCTTTATTCGCAATTCCTTTCCCTTTTCGTTTCCGCTGTCTGGTCCCCTTCACGTTCTGCTCTTGCATTTTCCTGCATCTCGGTTTCTCTCGAGTGCCCTCCTCATTTTCGTGCAATTCCTTTGACTTTCATTGTGTTCACTTGTTTCGCATCGCCAGCATGCATAGCATCATCCGCATCATCCGGAATGATGCTGGCAATGCTGGGGGTGTTGTCCAGTATTAGGCACCCCGCAAGAAGCGCTCGTTTTGTGACTCTGCGGGGAGATGCTACAAAATTCATCAAAAATCGCCTAAACCAATCCGCGAATCCTTCGCCCCTTATAAGGGCGGGCCCAGCGCAAAACGTATGCTCATGGTCCGCGCATGGTCGGCGGCATGGGGCGGACGGCCTTATACCTGAAGGTAAGCCCTGCGGGCTTGGCCTGCGGCCCGATCACGTCCGGTGGCCGGATTTGAGGGCTTTCTTTTTGGCTTGCCTTTAAGGCATCCCAAACGAAGGGCGCCCTCAAACAAACACAGCCGCTAACAGAGCACAAGCAACACGTTCCTTTTGGATGCTACAAACATGGTTGTCCTGCGTAAATGATCGGACCGGTTTATGTAGCTCGTTGGCTCAACCGGTTTGAGCGCGCAGTGTCGCGACTAAGATGCGGAATAACACAAAGCAGTGTATGTTTTGAGTGTGCTAAGTCAACAGTAAAATGGAGTACATACCTCCTCTGAATGCAGGCGACCTACAAAAAATGAGCCCCCCCATTTCGGGGAGGCCACCCTCCTGAATCTAAGCCTGGCCCCCCTACACGTTGCCAGCCAAACGCTTCCTGTCGCCCAAACGGGGGGACTCATTTAGACACTGCATTCTGGGATGCATGGACAAAAAATGAGCCCCCCCATTTCGGGGAGGCCACCCTCCTGAATCTCTGTCTACAATGGGAATAACCTCACTACTCAGCTTCAACTACCCTAATTTGGGCCCGGATGCAAGCGCTCTTTTGATTGACTTTGGATGAATCAATTTGGCGCCAACATGGGCAAAAATCCGGGCCCGGAAAGTGCATTACCAATGCCCAAACGCCACATTTGAAATGTAAAAAGAGATGCTGATGACAATCATGATGACGATGATGAAAGTGATGACTGTGATGACAATCATCATGAAGATGATAAGGATGGCGACACTCATGATAACTATCATCGTAGCATCCTCTGCATTACCAAAGCTGCCAATGACTGTCATGATAGCTATCATCGTAGCATCCTCTGCATTACCAATGATGCCCAAACGCCACATTTGAAATGTATAGAAGAAAGAGATGATGATGACAATAATGATGACGATGATGAAGGTGATGACTGTGACGACAATCATCATGAAGATGATAAGGATGATGACTCTCATGATAGTTATCATCGTAGCATCCTCTGCATTACCAAAGCTGCCAATGACTGGCATGATACCTGTCATCGTAGCATCCTCTGCATTACCAATGGTGCCCAAACGCCACTTTTGAAATGTATAGAAGATGATGATGACAATCATGATGACGATGATGCAGGTGATGACTGTGACGACAATCATCATGAAGATGATAAGGATGATGACTCTCATGATAACTATGATCGTAAGGATGATGACTATCATGGAAAGTTATCCAGCGTAGCCATGAGGCTAATGATGATGATGAGGGTGATGATGCTCGCGCAGCAGCTCACCAACCTGTGAGTGAGGAAGGGGCTCCCTACCGCAAGATATCACATCTGGGGCCCGAAAAAAAAAGTGAGTATCCGCATTTCGGGGGCTGCGGGTTCTCCCCCCCCGGCCCCTGAAGATTGGGGCTTAACGCCCCGCTCTGGCCCATTGTAGCTGCCACACAGGGGACTCAGTTGGGCTTGGGTGCAGGGGGCGCTATCTCAAAAATGAGCCCCTTACTTTTCGGCACAAGGAGTGCTAGGAATACTGGGTCCGTGGGGTAAGTCTCGGGCCGCCCAAGTCTACAAGCGTGCCAAGGATGGGTGATTTCTTGCGGTAGGGTAACCCAGGGCCTGGAAAGTCGCCCAGCGTAGCCTCAGTGCCAGTAAAAATTGCCGGGCAAGCAGTTGGGGAAAACAAATCGAGAGCAGCGCATACCCTGTTATGTGTTCATCTCACACTGATAGCCTCGAAGGGCCCCCAGGCAGTATGACCCCCTTCGATTAAACACGTTAAGAGTGGCAGAACCGGAAAGAACCGTCTTGATAACATCAACGCGTTGACAGGCAATCTGGGCACTGCTTTGAGAACAGACAAGTAACAGTGTGCAACGCAAAAAGTTGCCAAACACTTCTGAATAATGAACAAACCTGGTTGATCCTGCCAGTAGTCATATGCTTGCCTCAAGGATTAAGCCATGCAAGGGAATGATGATGACGGTGATGATGATGATGATGATGCTGATGATGATGATGACGATGATGATGAACCCAGCAGTCATCATGATAATCATGTCCACGCACCTGTTGCATCCCAAAGCGGATGATGATCATCATGACGTACCCTCAGCATCACAAGCAGTCATCATGATCATCATGTCCACGCACCTTTTGCATCTTAAGTCGCATGATAAGCATCATGACGCATCCTCAGCATCACCAGTAGCCATGATGATAATCATGACGACGCATCCATTGCATCACCAATGCTCTCTAACGCCACACTTCATATGTATAGTATAGAATGTAAAAGTATAGAAAGAGATGGTGATGACTACGAAGATGATGACGATGATATTGATGACGACGGTCATCCTCAGCATCACCAGCAGCCATCAGGATAATCATGTCCACGCACCTTTTGCATCTCAAGTCGCATGATAATCATCATGACGCATCCTCAGCATCACCAGTAGTCATGATGATAATCATGAGGACGCATCCTCTGCATCGCCAATGCCCTCTAACGCCACACTTGAAATGTGTAGTATAGAATATAGAGGTATAGAAAGAGATGGTGATGACTACGATGATGATGATGATGATGATGGTGACATTGATGACGAGGGTGACAAGGATGATGACTATGATGCTAACCGTCCAGCAGTCATCATGATAGCCATGTAACCGTCCAGCAATCCTCATGATAAGCATGTCCACGCATGTCTTGCATCTCAAATCGGCTCATAGTCATCATGACGCATCCTCAGCATCACCAGCAGTCATCATGACAATCATGTCCACGCATCTCTTGCATTGCCAATCGGCTGATAGTCATCATGACGCATCCTCAGCATCACCAGCGACGACGCACCCTCTGCATCGCCAATGCTCTCTAACGCCACACTTGAAATGTATAGTATAGAATGTAAAAGTATAGAAAGAGAGGGTGATGACTACGATGATGAGGACGATGATATTGATGACGACGGTCATCCTCAGCATCACCAGCAGCCATCAGGATAATCATGTCCACACACCTTTTGCATCTCAAGTCGCATGATAATCGTCATGACGCATCCTCCGCATCACCAGTAGTCATGATGATAATCATGAGGACGCATCCTCCGCATCACCAGTGCCCTCTAATGCCACACTTGAAATGTATAGTATAGAATGTAAAAGTATAGAAAGAGATGGTCATGACTACGATGATGATGACGATGATATTGATGACGAGGGTCATCTTCAGCATCACCAGCAGTCATCATGATAATCATGTCC